GGGAGAAAAGTAAGGTGGTAGAAAATCCAAAGCTGCAACAGCAGCTATTGAAACGGCAGTTGTTAGTTGACAGGTCAACCTCAAGCTAATGTTGAAGGTTAGGAGGTGGTGAGATTTGTTGCATAGCCTGTGCAAACCACCTATAATATGCTATTGTTAGCTTTGCTCCATTAATCAGGACACCTAGCTGTCAACTCAATATGCTTCTGCCATATTATCCATTCAGCAAAAGCTCTTTCTTTCTTTCTTTCTTTCTTTCTTTCTTTCTTTCTTTCTTTCTTTCCTTCCTTCCTTCCTTCCTTCCTTCCTTCCTTCCTTCCTTCTTTCTTTCTTTCTTTCTTTCTTTCTTTCTTTCTTTCTTTCAAGAAATATTAACCTTCTGTTTGTTCATATTTTTTTGAGGGATTGAGACGTAATTTATTTATTGCAGTGGTTCCCAACCTTGGGTCCCCAGATCTTTTTGGACTAAAACACCCAGAATCCTTAACCAGTAGCTATGGTTCACCAGGATTTCTGAGAGTTGTAGTCAAAGAACACTTTGGGATCCAAGTTTGGGAACCACTGATCTATTGTATAATTTAACAATTTATGTATTGCCAAAGTTTGGGGTAGTGGAAAAGAGTTTAAGAAATGCTGTGATGACTTACATAACAATATATGCAGGCCTTTCTCCCTCGGCTTTCTATTTTTAAATTCTCAAGAGTATTTCTGCAGATATGAGACCCATCTCGCAATATATCAGTGGCTTAGAGTGTGACCAAGAAGTCAAGCTTGATTTTCAAAGTTTGAGTACCAGGAAAGGAAGTGATTGTGGCCCTTACACAAAAAGGACACAAAGTGTCATAACATTTACATGTGCTAAGAGATATGTAGAAATACAAAGTGAAAAGCAGTGTCAAAATAAATACATCTCGCCATACAGCCTGCCTGGGTGTTTAGACCAACAGGAGAGGCCTTTCTCTTTGTCCCGCCACCTTCACAGGTGCATTTGATGGGGACATGGGAGACGGCCTTCCTTGCCAATGTTCCCAGACTCTGGAACTCCCTCCCACAGGAGACCAGGCTAGCTCCATCTTTGTTGTCCTTCCACAAGCAGATTAAGTCCTTTCCCTTCAGACAAGCTTTCGCTTAATGACTGGCTGGGGTTTTTAAATGGCTGGTTGTGCCTTACTGCTTTGAAAGTGTTTTTGATGTTGTCTTTTGGTGTTTGCTGTCTTTTACTGTGGTATTTGCTTGATCCATTTTGTATACTTACTGTTTTTAGCTTTAAATATTGTCTTTTAATGATGTAAGCTGCCTTGGGTCCTTCTTAAGGAGAAAGGTAGAGCAAACATATTTAAAATAAGATACTGTAAATCAATAAACAAAATAGTGCATCTGTATGTGACCATACAGAAGACTGTGACTTGCTCTGTCTGTGCAACCTATTGATGAGCCAACTCCTATGGTGTTTGTTTGTTTGGTCATTCAACCAGACTTGTGCTAGACAACACAGAACACACTTTTAAAAAAAGAGAGAGAAATTGTTTTGTGACAACTTTTTAACAAGGGACTGACTGTTTGACCACCCTGAGGAAATAAAGTAGAACGTTTGACTGCCCCAAAGAAAGAAAGTGGGTCTGGAATATGCTTCAGATTTGTCATGAAGACCTGTTGTAAAATAACTGTTGTTCACTCCTGCAGGGGAAGTTAAAATGTTTACACTGGACAATAGCAAAAGCTATTGCACCCCTGGCATTAGCTGGCCCAGTCCACAGCGAGAAAAGTATCACAGTCATTTGTCTGTGTACCCATATACATTATCTCAGTTTTTGCCTCTTTGCACCCATTCCTCTCTCTAAATGACGTACATTTTGCCAGCAGTTAATAAATGAAAAACACTCTGCTTCACAGGGCTCCTTTGGAACAGGTGGATAATATCTCTGCCTCTGTTTACAGAGTGGAAGTATCCCAATAGTGGATAAAATCCCTGTAGGAGGAAATCTTAATGTGTTCCTCTTGCAGACTTTCAGCATTTTCTTGGAATAGGGCTCTGAGTATATATTCCTTTTTTCCCTCCTTCTATTTCCTAAGCTCAGAGAACACCATAGCCTGGTTACGACTGTGTTGGTTAGTTGCTCTGCAACACCACTGCCTAGGTTACACTTAAATCCTGTACTCTCTAGAAATGTAAAATGAGACAGCTGTGCAGTGGTTTTTGCCATTAGGACGTGAAGCTAAAAGCTATCAAAGCTAAATATAAAAATAGGTAGCAGTATTGGAAGAATGTGAAATGTTCCAGACAGAGTAAAAATGTCAAATTTAAGCACTCTATTATGTACCAGGGGGAAACAAATGAGTTTAGTAAGGTTTATTGAAAAGATCTTTTATCCCAGTGCGACTGGCTGTAAAATGTTATTGGTCTGGAAAGATAATTTAATTTAAAATTGACACAGGTTTTGTTGTTCGCTGAAGCCATGTCACCATGTCAGCTTCCTCCCTCTCTCCCATATATTGTTTTCAGCAAACCAAGCACAGCTTTTCTGCTTTTGTCTGAACCACAGTATTGTCCGCAATACATATATTGTTGTTTCCTTCAAATTCATGGTCACTATGGGTGAATTGCTCTTATCATCATATCCCCTGGAACTCACTTCCACTTGCAATAGTGGTGACAAGAGCTGAGCATGTCCTCTGCCCTCTTTGCCTGTTCCATATCATCCTACTATTATCATAATCAGCTTAATCCTTCAACAACTCCCCGCAAAAGACTGAGTTATTAACCAGTTACTGATCCTATTCATATAGTGAAATTTATTTCATGTGCTCCATTTCCTTCTATCAATGGTTACTTGCTTGTACAAGATAATTATTTATCATTATCTTGTTAACCTTTCTTATTATCTCATTATCTTATGAGTTATTACGGTATCTTATATTTTAAAGAAGGTACAGTAATTCTTTTTTGCACCCAAAATGTCAAACTGGTTTGTAGGATTTTTAAAAAACCCAATAAGATTGAAATAACCATGAAATCATGTTGGCAGTTCAACCCAGAATAGACAGCCTTAGGTCTCTACCAGTATTAATATAATAACCAGCAAAGTGTCTCAAACACTTTCAGAAATAATGATACTGTTGATCACCAATTATGTAGTGGAGCCAGGGACTTGCATGGTTGAAGCCCCAGAACTTTCTAATTAGCAGGAACTATTACATCACTTTCCCACCCTCAGGCTTCCCTGCTTCCTTTGTGTTTAGCTTCATTCGTCACAATAGCTGAAAGAGAAATGGATTATCCAAGGATGTGGATAAGAAATTGATTTCCCCAGTGACAACATATTGTTGCAAGTTCTGGTCCTTGGACATGGAATTTCAAATGGTAGGGCCACCATTTGGAAGACCTTGTTAATGATCTCTGTACACTTGAGGAAAGAGCTCAATGTAAATAACATTGAGCTTGCTACCTCGCCTTCCCCCAATATCTGTGTGTAGATTCGCTCCAGCAGGTTCCATGATTTTGTTGCAATTGGGTCCTCCATCACCCACAACGGCAACTAGGATTATCCTAAAACTTCTTCTTTTGTTTATTTCTTTCTGGTTTGTTTCTTACGATTTTCTTCTAGGAGCTAGCCAAGAGAACACCCACCAAACATCCAGATTATCAAGCAGTCCAAAATGCATTACAAGCAATGAAAACAGTATGTACCAACATAAATGAGACAAAGAGACAGATGGAGAAACTGGAAGCTCTAGAGCAGCTGCAGTCTCATATTGAAGGATGGGAGGTAAGCTTACTTCGTTCCAAATCTTCAGTCATTTGCACATAGGAATATATACCACTCAGCACAGGTGGGCTTGGTTCCCGGTACATATGCCCTGATTGAGCTTTGCAGTATTGGTAAAAAATATTAGCAAAGCATATGCTTATTTATTTAATTAATTGTATCTATTTGTGACATTTCAACAGTGGCCAGCCAAAACTTTACAGGCCATTGCCAAACAGAGCTTAAACCATGAATGTCCGTCTTTAAATGGTGCATGGATCCATTTTGCACCCTATGTCCCACCATGGGCATTATCAGTCCCTGAAAATGTGAGCAATTTGAAAATGAAATAGCTGCTTCTGGTTTATGGAATTCTATTTCTGATTTCTGGGGGTTATTTTAGGTTTTTTGGGAAGATCTGGGGAGTGCTGCTCCCTAACTTACATCAAGGTCACCTCTTCCAGAGTCTCATTAAATAAGAATGGAAGATGACTTTTCTCACACACACTTTTTTTTTTCTTTTGCAGGCATGGGTGGGATGGCAGGGATAGAAGCAGACTCAGAGGCTATACTCTAGCTTGTCAAAACCTATAAAATGTAACTACATAGTGGCTGAAATCCTATTGCTCAGTTCTGTGCATGTGACGGATAAGTCATCAGCAGTGACAAATTGTAACTGAGTAAAGGTGATTTGGAGGTGCACATGACTCGTACACAATACAATGAAATTTTGTTCACTTATCAGTCACCAAAATGCTAGATGCAGGGGAGTGGTATCAGGAGAGAGGTATTTAGTTGTCTTGTGTGCTCCCAGAGGCATCTGGTGGAGCCACTGTGAGATATAGGAAGCTCGGCCAGATGGGCCCTTGGTTTGATCCAGCAGGGCTCTCCTTATGTTCAAAAGAAACCTTTAATCAGAGGTGATTTGCTACGGCTGAGGGCATCATTCCTGTTGAGCAGACACAGTTGTACAACAGGATTTTAGCCAATAAGATATATCCCCTTCCTGGATGCCCACTATAAAGATGGGCAGAGAAGAAAGTTGACAAGATAAAATTGATTCATTCAAAATGTGATGTTAGAGGAGAACTTTATGGATACTACGGACAACCAGAAAAAGACAGATCGAGGCTGGAATCTCACTAGAAGCTGAATGACTAAACTGAAGAAATCATATGTATCATAAGAAGGCAAGACTCACTGGGAAAGACTAAATGCTAAAAAAAAGTGGAAGACAGCACAATAAGAGGAAAACATAACATGAGATGGATTGACTTAATGCAAGAAGCCATGGCCCTCAGTCTGCAGAACTTGAGCAGGGTGACTAGCAACAGCACCTTTTGGAGGTCTTTGATCCTTAGGTTGCCATAAAGTACAAGCAACTTGATGGCACATCACAACAAAATGCAACACAGAGTAATGACCTAATGGGAAAAAAAGAACAGCAGTTGCATAATAAAACTGATAATAGTGCAAGCACATCACAACAAAATGCAACACAGAGTATTGGGGAAAAAAGCAGCTGCACAATAAAACTGATAATAGTGCAGCACTCTGAAAAGCACAAGAAATATTTATGAAAACTGAAGGACTAAAAAGGGAGAATAAAAGGTCATTACTTGATGCCAGAATGATCATGGTGTTGGCACCATCCATGCCCCATTAGAAAGTGCATTCCAGAAGAAGAGGGACACCACTGAAAAGGCCCTCTTCTAAGTAGTCACATGCTTCATGTCATTTGGCAGGAGCATGCAGAAGAAGGTCTCTGAAGATGACCTTCGTCCAGATAGGTATATAAACTTTTCTTTCTATATAAACCAGTCATATTGCACATAGATGTTTCACACGGTGATGTATAAAATGTGTGGATGATACAACTGCAAGTTTTTTTTTTAAATGTAACTTTATACATAAAAGCAAAAAGTTCTCTGTTACTAGTGTAGCATTAGAAAGACAGTTGGATCAAAAACTACATTCTGTTTTTATATAACAGGGCATTTTGGAGGTTGGGGGCAAATGTTTAAACAAGTTGCGTCCGTCTGTGTCCTTCTTGGTTAGCTGATAAAATTCATTTCGTGAAATGGCTAACACTTCTTCAACAGAGCAGCAGGGTGTCTAAGTATACTGTAGATTCTACAGATACTTGATGGACTGGGGTGTGGCATATGCGGCAGCAGTCCTTGGATTAATGGAAGTAGAGGCTTTAGGGTGGGAATACATTTATCATTCTCCTATGCAGGACTATTGTTGTTCAATGACTTCCCGGCTGTATTGGTGCCAGGAGAATGATGAGCTGAAGATGTTAAAATATGTAGGCTGATGGTTGCCAGCTGAAGATTCCTTAGCTGAACACATCTTTCAAGTCATGTAAACTTCCTCATATTCAGACTGTTGGGCGTAGTCCACAACAACTCTTGTTGCTTTGTTTAAAGCGGCTTATTTTTTCCTTCAAATATATTTTTGGCATCCAGCTGGAACCATGTGAGCAGCTCATTGTATGTGTCCATGTCCATTTGTGTGTGTGTGTGTGGGGGGTTTACAGATGAAAAGCCATGTTGAATGGATGATTTGAGGATTTGTTGTGATGGAGGGTCAGATTTGAACTCTTAAGCCTCAATGACCACTTTGCCAGCCCATCCATGATGGGTGATGGCCATAAAAACACAGGATGGCAAGCCATAGATTGTTTTTAGGATTTAAGTGGCTTACAGCAAATGTTATGGAAGCGACAATTTATCAGTGCCACTTTATAGAGAAAATTCACATGTATTCAATTTGTTACTCACAGAGTTCAGAAGTTTTTTTCCCCCATTATTAAACAAAAAGCCCTCCTTCTAAAGTCACATCTAAATCCAACTTGTCCAGTGGGATCCATTTTTTATAGACCCATTGAAATGTGCTTGTTCATTTTGGACTCAATGGCCATAACCCTTTTGCATAAATTATGGCTTGTTCATTTTGGACTCAATGGCCATAATCCTTTTGCATAAATTATGCTAACATAAGAAAAATGACGTTAGCTACAGTGGCGGAAAGCTGCAATAAATAAATAAATATAAATAAATAAGAAAAATGACATTAGCTACAGTGGTGAAAAGCTGTTAATTAAAGAGTCCCCACTTCTAATCCTCATTGTTTACATTGTGCATAGTTCATTTGGTTTCATGCACAGTCAGGAATCAAGAAGAAACGTCTTTAATTAATAGCATTCTAATTCATGCATCAAGATTGCCAATAATTTAAAAGTCCTGACTTCAGTTCTGGATAGTGCAGCCAACTTGAGCACAGTAAGATTATGTTTAAGCAATGAGGAACTGGAGTAGAGGTCTTTAATAAGTAGCAATTTACTATTGCAGGTGAAGTCATTTCCATTACAGCAATATAAATTTACCCAAGAGGATTTTGGCCAGTGAAACTGACTTATACTACTCATTTCAATGGGCCAGCTCTAACGTTGACTAAGGCTAGATCAAATCCAATATGTCTATTGCTTTAAAAGAAAATTTAATGTTATAGGGATGGTCTGTAAGGAGCGGAGGTAGGAAATACCTTCACCTGAAGAGGAAGTGAAAATCAGTGAGGCCTTTGAGAGGGAGATTTGTGGTATAATGACAGCTGCGAGTACTGCCACGTGCATGTGTGTGAGCGCCACCATGCGCATGCATGAGAGCCTGCTCTGCCCCTCCAGGTGCGCTGTGTGCATGTGTGTGAGTGCCCCCCACGAGCGCTGTTCCATGCATGTGTGCGAGCACACTCCACCCCTCTGCAGGCACCCCCCGCAAGTGTACCATGCCCCCCGCATGAGCATGCCACCTCCCCCCACTGGTCTGCAGTAGGGAAAAGGTTGGGGATCACTGGTTTAAGGGACAAAGTGTCCCGGTCACAGAGTAAGCACAACAGTATACAAATGTGAATCTGCAACATGAGAATGATATCAATCTCCTATTAAATGTTGTTGTTAAAAAGCTTGGAATATGAGTGTGTATGAGAAGCACTGCATTTTCTAATGTTCTATATACATGCTTTTTGTAATAATAAGACAGAAGAATTAGTATTGGTTTTCCCCAAGCCAACTACCATCTGCTGCCAAAAGTGTGAAGTTACTGCATTACTGCTAATGTTCAGTGAAAGTAGAAAGGAAGTTATGCTGACAGTACACTATGTGTTTCACAATCCTAAACTGGTTCTGTCTTTCGCCTTCTCTGCTGAAACAGCAGTAGGTCAAATTATCTAATCTACTTCCTTAGTTCAGTTTGCAGAACAAGTTAGGGTCTCCCAATTAACAGCTGTCTCCCAAACACATTGCAAAAGAACAAATATATGAATACACATACATCCTTCTCTACCTCCCACCCGTGTCTCCCTGTGTTGACAATGAGTCTGTTGATTTGCTGTAGGATGGAAGATTACTGCAGATTTTTAACCTTAGGAAATTATGTTAAAGGTACAAATTATCTTAGAATGAGCTGGAAGGGACCCTATGGATCATTGAGTCCAGCCCTTAGCAAAGAAACACAGTGGAGAATCAAACTCTCAACCTCTGCCTCTGCAGCCAGATACCTAAGGCATGGAGCTATAACTGGATTTTCACAACCTGGAAACCCACATTCATTTTATTATGCTTTAGGACTGCACTTGTAAATGGACTGAACATTTCAGTTAATCCAAAACAGCATGGCTGGACAGTTGATCAATATATAAAGACTATGTGCTGATAATGTGATCAAAATATATCAGAAGTTCTTCATTTCTACTGGTTGTCAGTACATTCTCCAGGCACAATTCAGTGTGTTGGACTTAACATATAAAGCAAAGTGTTCTGCTTATATACCGCCACATAGTGCTTAAAGCACTCTCTGGCTGGTTTACAGTAGAAGACAGGAGGGCCTGGCGTGCTCTGGTCCATGGGGTCACGAAGAGTCGGACACGACTAAACGACTAAACACACACACACAACACTTCATTTCTACTGGTTGTCAATTCACTCTCTGGCTGGTTTACAAGCGGTTTACAAGTTAATTACGCAGGCTACACATTACCCCCCCCCCCCAGCGAGCTGGGTACTCATTTTACCGACCCCGGAAGGATAGAAGGATGAGTCAACCTTGAGCCGGCTACCTGGGATTGAACCCCAGGTCATGAGCAGAGTTTTGGCTGCAGTACTGCAGTTTGGTCACTGTGCCATAAGTGGCTTAGATGCAGATTATATCTGCCTCTCTGAACTATAAGGTGTCCTTCTGGTGGCCCTACCAATTAGGTAGGGCAGATGGCTCCAAAAAAGAGAATTTTTTTACTTGAAAAATTGAAGAGAGACGTTTGTTCCTTACACGCAATGCAATGTAGGAGAGGGTGATGCCTTTATTAGACCACTGGGGGGAAAATCATACAATCTGCTGGCTCTCATGGCCACTTCTTCAGGCATGTTTTGTCATTAATGCACAACTCTCGGAGTCCCAAAGTACATGGCAGATGGTATGCTGAACTTGTTTCTTAGAGGTAAGTTAGAAAAGATGCAGGCTGCATTGGAGATGTATTTTTCAAGTTACAACCCAGGAAGTTGTTGATTGGAGATCATTCCCTGGGTCCTCAAACAAATAAGCCCAGGAATTATGCATGGCCTTCTTTTAAATACTAGAAGTTTCAGTTCGGTGGGCTTTGAGCCACAAAAGGTAGCAGGTTGTTTGATTTTTCTTAATGGTCTAATAAATATTTTTTGCTAGCATTTTATCTATATTGTACCTTCCCAGAGAAAGTTGTGTGACGTCTTTTCTACAATTGTTATCCATTGGCCAAAATCTGGGTGGGTGGAGTTCACCTACACGGTTGGAGTGACATCACAGTCAGTGACAGATTGCCACTGATTAAAGACTTCCTCTTTCAACTTTGGAGTATACCTGTGTCACTTTTTCTAACTGTGCATGAGCCAAAATAATTTTTTAAATGGAAGTCTGTAATCCTGCCAATGATGATCTCATTCCCATAGCACAGCTGGAGTTGTGCAACATAGTTTTGGCACAGTAAGGGAAGAAATCTTTATTATCCCAGGCATTTATGTGTTGCAGTGGGCTCTGCTCTTTTACTTTGGGCTTACATGATGCCCTTATTTTACCCTTTGCTGCTGTTCTTATCTTTTTGCTATGTGTGGGTTTTATCACTGTTTACTGTTATATTTTTCTTTTAGCTCTGATTTGGCCAGAGAACATTAGTTGTTATAAATACATAAACAGAAAATTATAGTATTTTCCCAAATTTTAAACCCATTTTATGGAAACCTGTCCCTGTTTTATACTTGTCTATATTGGCTGCATGCAGATATTAAGGACAAACCTTTATTTGTGATTCTGTGTACAATCAGTCTTGAGGCCATACTGTTCTCCTTGCTGCAGTGATAAAACAGGGTTACAGTTATGATTTCTTTTAGTTTCCTTCACTGCTTTAAAAGAACGTGGAATGTACCCCTCAAATTAAATGAGTAAATGAAAATGATATGATAGAGTTATATAGCATGACCTGATTTTGCCAGGTGCTTCAACTGTACTCATTCTTATTTAATTAAAACAATTAATAAATAGAAACTGTAGGAATTATATGTGCAGGTTCCATGTTTTAATGGGTAAAGAATGACATTCAAGGCTGCTGTACTATTTTTTTTAGGTTTTCAAAACTGGCAGATTGTTTAATTCTGACAGCCACTGAAAAACAACTTCTAAAGGGGGTACAGGTATTTAGCATCTGTTTCATTGTAGCAACCTCATCTTGCTGTCAAATTACTGCTCTGGAAAATTGATGTTCTATAGGTATATATGAGTTCTGCATAGAAATACTGAGAAGAATACAACTTCAGTTTGATGGGAGCCATTTTTGTGTTCTAGGGTTCCAACTTAACAGACATCAGCAGCCAGCTTCTGCTCCAAGGACCCCTGTTAAAAATCTCTGCAGGAAATATCCAGGAGAGAACATTCTTCCTTTTCGATAATCTTCTTGTCTACTGCAAGCGGAAGTCCAGGTAAACACACCTGTCTATATCAGCTCTCCTACTTCATAATGCTTTACACATGATATATAGTAAGTATATGAAATTAAGTGTCTTATGTCTTCTTTGGATTGCTTCTCCTTTTATTTATGTTGACACACACATATATATATGGAGATAGTCTCGTGTAGACACACACACACACACACATATATATGGAGATAGTCTCATGTAATAGATAGAACTCAGGAGGCCTGAGTTTGAATCCCTACTCAGCCATAGAAGTTCACTGGGGTGTAGAACTGGTAAAACCACTCCTTAAATACCTGACCTACCCTGAAAGCTCTGTCAGGGTCCTAAAAGTCAATTCTAACTTGATGGGACATAACAGTAATCTGGATATGTAGACCTAACATAAGGCTTGAGAACCCAGACTGTAGAGAAAGATGTTGAACAACTCCAATGCAGAAGCGATCTTGACATGATTCATTATACCAGGCTTTCTCAACCTGTTCCCCATCTTCCCAGAAGTGATGGACTACAACTCCCGTTATTCCCAGCCAGCATGGCTGTGATTCATTGGCCTTGTTGTCCAGTATATCAGGAATATGCTGGGTTAGGGAAAGTCAGAATGACAGGAATTGACACCTTGCACTGGTATGGAAATGAGACTTATATACATATACACAGCATAAGAGGCTGAAACAGCAGCATGAGGCTGGTCACATGACCAATGACAATTTTGAAGTTACTGAAGGTGTGTCATGAAAGAGCTCTGGTATTTAACGGAATGATGACAATTTTGAAGTTACTGAAGGTGTGTGTGTGTGGTATTTAACGGAATACTTTTAGCCAAGGAAGTAAATGCAGAAAGAGAGCAAAAAAGGAAACAAATGAAAAGGTTTAGCACCGAGAAGGCAAGGGAAAAGAATAATAATTTGTAAAAACAATCTTATATAGCTTTTGTTTTAAAACACAGTTAATATAATATATGTAAGCTGCTCTATCATAAGGGATAACAATTTAAAAGCAAAGTCTTTACCACAATTAGGCAATTTAGATAAATTACCTGGTGAGTTATTGAAGAGATAGCCATGTTAATCTGTGCTAGCATATCAGACAAAACTAAAATAAAAATAAAAAATTAAGAAGGCAAAAACATTTAGACACTTTAAAGACTAACTGTTGTATTTTAATCTGAGCTTTCATGGACAAGTCCATTGTCAAGTTTGAAGAAATTTCCAACAACTTCTTTGGTCTTTCCCCCCATTTGCTCTTAATTTTTAAATTCAAGCACTCATCTCCTCCTGTCACATGTGGTCTTAATTCGTTCACCCTTTCCTTTATTTCAGAATCTCTCCTCCCATTCATTATAACCACCAACACATTAAGCAAGGAGACAAGCCCTCTTCAGTTGTTAAGGGAGTGTGTTGAGGAGAGTGCCCTAGCTCTGCACTCCCATCATGATGAATATGGAAATATCTGAAGAGGGGGAAACTGTTGCAGCAAGGTAGCCCATCAACATATGCTAAAGCCACCCAAAATAGGGCTCCTCTCTCCCGTAGGGCTGCTGCCTGAATATAACAGCCTTTCCCTCTTCAGACAATTCTGTTTCTTTGTTCTGTCTGAGGAAGGAGTGGGTAGTGTGTGGGCACCACATGAATACTTAATGCCTGTGTAGGGCTAAAAAAAGTATACAAGAGCCATCAGTGGAATCACCTACTAGTGTTCCTCCACCATTTTGTTGGTACTTATTCCTGTAACTATAAAAGAAAGTAAAACATTACCTTGCAAAGCAATGAAGTTATTATTGCTGCACAGGCATGCAGCAATAGATACTGTGTGGCAGCAGCATTAAGCATTCTATAAGCCAACTCAAAGACTAGGGGTACCGCCCCCCCCAAATTATAACTATTAAACTGAACCTTGAATCAGTACCAAATATGGCACAGATATAGCAGAAAGTCTGCTTGTGTTCTGTGCCAAAAATGGGGACATCTGGGCAAACGGTTTTCAAGTTATGAATTTTTAAAAAATAAGATTATTTTTACTCTGTGCAGAACCAAGTAACCAGGAGCTCTGGCCGATTTAAAACAGATCAAATAAATTGATAAGACTACCATTTATCCTTGTTGAAAACCAGTCCTGACAATTGCCATCTGAGAACTGATGGAAAAAAGGAGTCAGCATCTGAGATTTTCCCTTGTGTGGTGTCATTTTGTGAATAGTAGTGAGCAAAGGGGGATATCCTGTAGACCAGTGGTTCTTAACCTTGGGTAACCCCGGTGTTCTTGGACTTTAAATCCCAGAAGCCCCAACCAGCATAGCTGGTGGTGAAGGCTTCTGGGAGTTGCAGTCCAAGAACACCTGGGTTACCCAAGGTTAAGAACCACTGCTGTAGACCATCTTGACTGCTTCCATTGGTGTTGTCAACATTCAGGCTGCCCTTTGCTATGTAAAGCTTGGCACCCTTTTCCTTGCTGGCAGTGCAGGCACAATATTGTGCAGCAATATTGGGCCATTTCCTGGGTTTTTGAATCATGGATACAGAAACGCAATATCCCATATTCATAAACTGGAGGTTTTTTGAAGAACTGAATCCTGTTTTAAGTTACAATTGCAGAGTAATTTAGTTATGCCTTATACCATTTTAAGTTATAATTGCAGAGTAATTTAGTTATACCTTATACCAAATAAGTTAATTACAATTAGTAATTGTAATTGCTTTTGTGTGCCATTTCCCTATTTCCTATTCTTTCTCTCTGTCCTCTGCTTCTTCCCCCCTGTGTTGTTAGAAGCTGGAATTAATACAGTACCCCCTCCTTTCTGCAGGCAGTATTCCCAGAACACTAAGTTGAAGGAAACAAAATGTTCTAATGTCTTTGAGAGAGAGAGAGAGAGAGAGAGAGAGAGAGAGAGAGAGATTTGATTGTACAGACAGGCATCAGTGAACAACTTTTCAGTAGTTTGGCTTGGAGTTGGATAACGCAGCTTGGACACTTTCAGTTCCCTAAATAATCTGTGTTTGTGTTTCCTTAATAACTATCACAAGTAAATCTCCAGGGTCTGATTTTCATTTGGGAAAAAAAGAGGAGTCTGTGGCATGTTGTGTAATATGAAAGGATATATTTAGAATTGCAGAGCTGCTATAGTTTTGGATGGTTCATCTGTCTGTCTGCTATTTAAATTCTGGTCCAGGGTGGAAATGAATGTCTGTTCACTTGTAGCAGCTGGCCAGATGTAGGCCTCAACAAGTGATACAATAATGTAATGCAGTGTTGAGAGGTAAAACTTTACGCTAAAGGGAAGTAGCTCTTCCATTGCAGCAGGAGAAAATGCATGCTGTTTGTTCATCACTTTTAATTTTTCCTCATTGTTTGTTCTCCTACAAATATTGCACTCTGAGGAGTACATACTGGCAATGGTGTGGGGGGCACTTTCATGTGGTGTGGATTCTTCCTTTCATTTCTCTACTGGCTAATGATGGCCAAAGTTTGGAGGAGCGGACCCATGTGGTTGCTTTGATTATGTACTATACTTTCCTTATTCATACATACTGCCATCATGTTGGCTGCATCACAAAGATGTTTCCAGACCAGGTAGATATACTGTACTGTATAAAGGAAGCTTGAGAGTTGATCATATGATAGATTTTTTTTTAAAGCATACCCGGGATAACAGTAAACCTGTGGCAGAAGTGTAAGTGGCCATTTCAGTGCCCAAAGCTTTGCTGTTCTCTTGGTTAAGTTTGACCTATCTAAGACTGGCATATGCAGGGACTGTACAGAGGAATGGTGAGGAATACCTGGACCTGAGTGTGTGACATCCATATGAGTTCTGTGCTGGGTGTGCCTGTTTTGTGGTTCCTTCTGCCTGGGAAAAATTTGGGTTTACACCAAAGGGTGGTTTTTGTGGCCTTTTGGCAGCAAAGATTTGCATCCTCTGCATTTTGACACTGTGGACAAAATCTCCAGCTGCCCTACTCCAGTTCCACTTCTGGCCTATGGAATCCTTGTTTCCACTACTTTCATGTTCCATATGCTCTGTTTTGAAATCACTAGTTGCTTCACTTGATTGTATATTTTAAGATTCCTGCACCATCCTGACTACTTCATTTATACTTCAGGTGCAGTGAACATTTGATTGCGTAAATGTTTCTGGAAAAGGGAAATAATAGCTACCTATGCTGGCTGTACATTTCCCTGCATTATGCACAGACAGGTTTTAACAAATTGATGAGGGGATGTCAGGGCTTCCACCTGCAGAGGGTTTGTCTTGAGCTGATACCCCAAGGGAAGTGTATCACCAGCCAGTTGGGAACAACCCAAAGAACTACAAGGGCCGAGGAGCCACAGAAGCAAAGTGGGCTCGAAGTTAGTAGACCAGTGCATGTAGCTTTTAAGCTAAACGAAGGAGAGTTCTCCTGAGGGCTTACTCTCATTCTTCTTTTCTGACTCTAGCTCATAGGAACTGGAAATATAACTTCTTCAGACAATGCATAATTAATCTAAGAGATTCGTTGTTGGATACTTCCCTAGGTGATTTAAAAAGGATTAGACAGATTCATGGAGGATGCCTAAGTGCTGATTGTAAGTTTTTCCAAAGCTTTTAGGTAGCTACTGCAGGAAACAGGATACAGAACCAGAAAAACTGATTACATCCAGCAGGAGTCTTCTTTCTGTTGATATATTCTGTTTTGTGATTTCACTTACAACATCGTCCAGAGCTATTGTCTAAACCAGGTTCTTTCATCTCTAGCTGGAGTTTTGTGATAGAACATATGCTTTATGTGCAGTTGGTCTCAGATTCAGAAAACCCCAGCGAATACCCTGGAGTGCTGCTGTCAGTTGGTGTCAGTGATTGTGGATTAGATGGATCAGTGATTCGACTCCATATGTGGCAGCTTTCTTTTTGTTCCTGTCTGGTGTATCCTATCCCTTTGATTAGCCCCGAGAGCTGTTTTCTTGAATCAGCTCAAATGTCTATCAAAAGAATTATCGGTTGGCTCCATGATTTCAAACCAAGATGCTGTGGTGGACAGTACATTTGAATTGACAGCTGTTCTGTGATGCCTCACATTATTCCCCTGCTGTTTCTACTTTGTGAAAACTTTCTGCCAAGTTCACAGGGTTCACAACCAGAGCAGGAAAGAGGTTATTTGGAAACAGTTATTATCTGTTATTGTATATGTATTTAAAAAAATTCTCTGATGTAGTGGCAAGACTCTGAAATAATAAAGGTAAAGGTAAAGGTTCCCCTTGACAATTTTTGTCCATTCGTGTTCGACTCTGGGGGGCGGTGCTCATCCCCGTTTCCAAGCCATTTGTCCGAAGACAATCTTCTGTGGTCACATGGCTAGTGCGACTTAGACACGGAACGCTGTTACCTTCCCACCGAGGTGGTCCCTATTTATCTACTTGCATTTGCATGCTTTCGAACCGCTAGGTTGGCGGGAGCCGAGACAAGCGACGGGCGCTCACTCCGTCGCGTGGATTCGATCTTACGACTGCTGGTCTTCTGACCCTGCAGCACAGGCTTCTGCGGTTTAGCCCACAGTGCCACCATGTCCCTTAGTGCCACCACGTCCCTTAGTGCCACCACATCCCTTAGTGCCACCATGTCCCTGAAATAATAAAGGCCGTTCTAAATACAATAAAACCTAGGCTGGGATCTTGTAATTCTTTTGGAACCCACTGCTTTCCCTAGAGCCTTAAAAACCTTCTTGGAAGATCCTCTGGGACATATTTTGGCCTCATGGAGGGCTGCAGAAATGTTTGTGTGATTAACATTTTGATTCTGTTAGGTACTAAAGGCGTAGACGATTTCTGAGGTCCCTATGTGGTTTTGTACTTCTTTCAGGACTCTTGTCTCTACTTCACTGCCTCGTTTTTATTCGGGGTGCTAGCAGTGTTGCAGAATTTAAACCTCATTCAGCTTTCTAGGTTAGATTAGGAGAATGGTAGTGATTTAGACCAGGGGTCCCCAACCTGGTGCCGGTCTGTGGCCATGGTAGGACCGGGCTGTGGAGACAGATATCCTGGCCCCCCGCAAGCACTTCCCCCGAATGCATGGCCCACCACCCGCATGCCCCTCCCCTCTGTGAGTGTGTCCTGCCTCTTCATTCATGCACGTGAGCACACTCCGCCCCTCCGCCCATGCATGCGAGCCCGCCCCTCTGTGAGCGCACTTCACCCCTTCATGCATGCGTACAAGTACTCCCCTCCATGAGTGCAATCCGCTCCTCCGTGAGCAGGGGGGCTACCCCCCATGCACGGACCTCACCCCCCCCAACTGGTCCGCAACTCAGAAAAGGTTGGGGACCACTGATTTAGACGATTATGAAAAAGGCAAGTGAAGGTTGATGCTTGGATGAAAGATACACTGTTCTATAACCACAGTTCAGAATATGTATAAATAAATCTCTAGAAGAAACAATTAATAATATTTTCCCAGGAGAACTGAAAATCATTGTCCATGGAAAGAGGGAGTACTGGGTGCTGCTATGCGCACCTTTCCCCCCCCACCCACAGTGGTTTGCATTGCATACAGGGCCATGCAGCATTTTGTTAGGTTTTTCCTTTAAGCATGCTGTACAGACACCTTGAGTGCTGCTTTCTTCCCTCTGTAAGTCTGATAGGGACACCACAATCTAAATTATGTAGCTGAAGCTGTTCTTTGCCTTATTATAGATCAGTCATGTTTTCTGGTGGCTTTCTGGAAGAGATAGTTCACATATACTGACTTCTAATGCAAGAAAACAACAATGGTATCTCATAGAGTGATTGAAAACAACAGGGCTGACCCTACCATTTGGCAGACTAAGGCAGCTGCTTTAGGCAGCAGATATGGAACACCATGAAAGGCCAGCAAATTTTTCGTTGGCTAATCGGTGATGGTTGTTTTTTTCCCCTTTTTTCTTTTTTACTGTCAGGGAAGGGATTTTCTGCCTCATGTGCCAAAATAACATGTCTGGTTTGGGATAGTGCACATGATGAAAACATAGATGAGGGTGCCATTTACTGCTCTGATAGCAAGTCACATGCACGCACACACACACACACAAACACACATACACAGAGAGAACTGCAGCTGGGGGATTCTTAGATCTTTCCCATCTTAGGGTCGACAGAGGGAAGTAACATGGAGACGGAGCTTTAGGTACGTTGACACAGTAGACTGAAGGACAGGAGTTTTGGAATTCTCTCATCTAGGATTTTGTGAGTTACACTAAACATTATCAACATTATCAAGCAGTCAGATCATGTGCAACTTCCTTTGATGTTTTTTGCATCAGAAATAACAGGAAAGTGGAAGTTTTATATTAAAGAAGCAGGAGGAACCCAGCAGAAGCAGGATTATTATTCTGATAATTTTGCCTTTTTTTTTTTTACCTCGGAGCAAAGCAGGGGAAGACCCTTAGAAACCTGCTTTATACTTTCTGTACTATGTGCTATTATCTGACTTATGCCAACCCTAGTAGAGCTTTGAAAGTAAGTGAGACCTTTAAAGGGTTGTTTTACCAATGCCACAATCCCACCACCATGGGTCTTCATGGGTGAGCAAGGATTCGAATCCAAGTGCCCTTAGGGCTTGTCCATCACTCTCTCCACTATACAACACTGAGGATGCTATATAATCAATAGCACCATTTGTCTATCTAGCCCACTGTTCTCAGTATGCCCTGGCACCAGGTCTGCCCAGAGTATCAGGCAGAGATATTTCATTAGCGAGTGCAATCTAAACTCTTTTCTAACTGGAGATGCCATAGATTGAAACTAGGTTGGGCTCTTCTGCATGCAAAGCTGGCTTTCTACTACAGAGCTGTGGCACATCCCTAAGGATGTACTTAATGGAGCAGCATACTTCCATCTTACTCAAAATCACTAACATAAAGAAATATGTACCAGGATGTAGCAGAACACAGGGTGTGTACACTACACAGGGATTGTTAATTTATAATTAAATAGTTGCATGCCCACAGTTGGCATGCAGGATTGTAAAGTGGAGCAGACATAACCTAAAGTGCCTTATCTCAACTGGATTTCAAAACAACTGATTTAAAATACAAACTGAGGTACAAATACTTTCTTTTTTATGAAGCTATGTCAATATTTTCATCAACACATTAGTTTACCGTTGCAGTTGTTTTCTAAATGCATTCAATAACAACTGATTACTTACATGCACACTAAGCTAGTCTAATAAACAGAATTGTTCAAAATGTTTATCAATGAAGATACACTAGTAAACTGCACAGTTACCTTTAAAAATGTGTAAAGTGTGTATATTAAAGGATTAATACAGCTACCAACCCTGGATGACATCTTCACATCCCGCTGTCTGAGGAAGTCACACAGCATCCTGAGAGACTCTTCCCATCCTGCTTATAACTTTTTTGAACTGTTACTGTCTGGCAGAACATATAGAACAATTAAGACTCAGACCACACGTTTTCTGAATAGTTTTTATCCCAGAGCTATAATTGCAATTAATAATGAGCTTAAAGACCACCAGTAGTGAATAATTAGTTGGGCTGTGTTACTTGGTCTGCGGTGTAGATGTTTGTATTTTTAGTGGGGGAAATCTAGGGGACAAATGGGAAATGCTGTATGACTGGGATGATGATAGTGAACTGATGTGTATTTTAGGGGGAAATACTATTAAAGATAATATAAAGCACAAACATTATTCTTACCTTCACTAACTGCAGAGTTGCTGGGAAAAAGACATCTAAGCGCACCAAGTCAATAAATGGATCCCTCTACATCTTCAGGGGCCGAATAAACACAGAAGTCATGGAAGTTGAGAATGTAGAAGACGGGACAGGTAAGAAACCAAATCTGAAATGTAGCTGTGTATTTTATTGGATAGGTTCTGTATCCTTGTCTTTCTAGGTGAGTCCCATCAGGTCTTTAGTATTCTTTTTACCCTTTTCTAAAAAATCTCCTTATGTTTCATTTATTTATTTATTTATTTATTGGACTTATATACCACCCCATAGCGCTACAAGCACTCTCCAGGCGGTTTACAATTTTTAATTATACAGGCTACACATTGCCCCCCCAGCAAGCTGGGTACTCATTTTTACCGACCTCAGAAGGATGGAAGGCTGAGTCAACCTTGAGCCGGCTACCTGGGATTTGAACCCCAGGTCGTGAGCACAGTTTTAGCTGCAGTACAGCGTTTTAACCACTGCGCCACGAGGCTCTTTTGAAGCATGATAGGTGGTGTTTCAGGACATTGTTGGTAACTGGATTTTTAAAGTTAAGAAGTGCATCTTTTGCTCCTTGACCTCCAAACAATCCCTTCCCTTCTTCCCTACAGCAGCATGTGTCTTCTCCAAGCTCTCCTTTAACATCAGCGTTTGTTACGTTTCAAGTGTGATGTTCATTGTTGGGCAGAAGTGTTGCTGTTTCATCTGGTTGTTCTTAAATTGTCACTAAAATTTTTTACCAACAAATATTTCCAACAGCAACAGCAGCAGAAAGAAGAGGTGGAAATGCCAAGTTTATTACAGTGGTGCCTCGCTTAGCAATGTTAATCCGTGCAGCAAAAATCGCTGCTAAGCGAGTTCATCACTAAGTCATTTTAAAAAGCCCATAGAAACGCATTGAAACCCCTTCAATGCGTTCCTATGGGCTAAAAACTAACCTTAAAGCGAAGATCCTCCATAGGAGCGGCCATTTTCAGTGCCTCTAAAGCGAGGCAAAACAGTGGGTGGCCATTTTATTTTTCTGGCGGCTATTTTGAAACCGCCGATCAGCTGTGCGAAAATGGGGGTTTTGCAATGATCGCTTCCCCGTGATCATCGCAAAGCGAATTTTCCCCATAGGGACCATCGCAAAGCGATCGCTCTTGCGATGGCAAAGTCTATCGCAAAGCAATTACATCACTATACAGAGTGATCGCTATGCGAGGCACCACTGTATTTGCTGTTTTTACTAACTAGCCACTGCAGTTTTAGGGTGGGCGTTAACAGGGTAGAGTCCACAGTCAATTTCCATCCTCTCAGAGCCACAGCAGTTGCTGCTTACTCATCAAAGTGGAGATTATCTGACCTGCAGACTGCAAGGCCATTTATATGACCCTTAGAAACTCCTATTTCCAAATGTCCCTTTCCTCAAAAGGGGGAATCATACCTTATAAAGCCTCCAGGGGAGCAATTGCCTCTGCTATACACACTGTAATTACAACTGAGTGAGGTTATAGTAACACCCCTGGGTCTGGATTAAACAGAGAGGTCTCCATTTGCTAACCTATGTTTGATGCACACACCCTGTTTAAGGGGAAGACCCTCTCAATGCTCTGTGCATATGTAACCATAAAGCCATCTCAAACTATAGAGACTCCTGCAGAAGTTGACTCCCTAGAAATGCAGATAGGATTTTGGGAACAGATGTTATGGCTGGCTCTATGAACATAAGGGAAGAGCATTGTTCCTGGGTGTGCCCCAAGGTGCATAGATTTTCGAGGTGACCTTGTTTTGCCTGAAGACCTAAGACTTGGACTCACTGTCTTGGCTGTGCTTTTTTGTTTTTGCAGCAGATTACCACAGCAATGGTTACACAGTGACAAATGGCTGGAAAATACACAACACCGCCAAAAACAAATGGTTCGTCTGTATGGCCAAGACTGCCGAAGACAAGCAGAAGTGGCTTGACGCAATAGTCAAGGAAAGGGAGCAGAGGGAGAGTAAGTTTCTGATATATATATTTTCCATGCTGGTTGAGTAACAAGACTTGTGTGTGTCTGCAGTGAGAGGTTTATCCGTCTGAGAAAGGAACAACTACAGTAGCTGAAAGTGTCTGGTATGCATTTTCAGTGGAATGTGACTTTGAAAAAGAAACAGTTCAAGCAGCTGCAAAGTTACTTTTCAATTTACGCTGCTGAAAATTGCAAGGCTCAAGAATCAGTACACTTACTTACTTACTTACTTGCTTACTTACTTACTTGCTTACTTACTTACTTACTTACTTACTTACTTACTTACTTACTTACTGGCTGCCTTTCTCCCAACAAGTATGGTTACTGGTATAAAATCCAAACCATTTTCAAGGCCAAATTCCAAGATTCTTTTGGATACAGTAGGACCCCCTTATTCACAGGTTACTTACTTACTGGCTGCCTTTCTCCCAAGTATGGTTATTGGTATAAAATACAAACAATTTTCAAGGCCGAATTCCAAGATTCTTTTGGATACAGTAGGAACCCCTTATTCACAGGATCAGTATCCATTGATTCACTTACAGTTTGAAAATATAATTTTAAAAAAATCCAGAAAAAACACATTTTCAAATGTTTTTCCAAAACTGGCCACTAGAGGGAGCCATGCTATGAAGAATGCATAACTTGGTCTCTGGCTGCTTAACGCCTCTCCGCTTGCAAGCTTTTTCTTGGGCAGCGATGTAGGCAGGAGCTCTTCCTGCCTGCTGGTTTACCCAGAGGCAAAAAAACAAACAAACAAACAAAACCAAATATGTGGCTTTGACAGTGTAAGCAGGGTAATCTAGGCAGGAGAGGGGCATCTCTAGGGCAATGTTTAGGGCTGGCTGCCTTTGCACTGGGTGGGTGTGAGAGAGTGCAGAGCGGTGACAAGCAGCTCAGCATGCAGGCGAGTGGCCCTCCCTAGGCAGCTGCGGCTTCCATGCTTAGCTCTCCCTTTGGGTAACCGTCGTGTTTGCATGGCTCGAAGATGGGCCCCTTTGTCCCAAGGAATTGCTTTCACCTTCAGATAGTTGGCGAGGGAAGGGGGGGTGCTTAGAAAATTTACCGTTTGGGCCTCAGCTTCCAGAGCCCAATCCCCTACAAGTATTTTACAGAAATAAAATAAATAAAAATTGATATGAATGCTTACAGAAATAAAACACAAGAAGGCTTTTTTGGCAGGCATTATACAATACAATGTTGTTGTTATTATGTGCCATCAATTCGAAACCAACTTATATGGACCCAATAGGGCTTCCAAAGTATATGAGATATATATGGAATGGTTCCACTCTCCCAGTGAATTAACGTGGCTGAGTAGAGATTTGAACCCAGGCCTCCTGAGTCCTAGTCCGTCCCTTTATCCACTACACCACACAGTGTAATGCACATTTAAAAGAACAACAACTCAGAATTCAAACACATTTTGTCAGTATGCCTTGTCATGTGCAGTAACTGGAAGATAGCCAGGAAAAACCATGCAAGTAGCTTCAGTGTGTGAATCAGTCCTAGTATAGATTAAAGACAGTTTGCAATTACTATCTTGATGTGTTTGAAGGAATGCCCCTGAAGATGAGAAAAATCAAGGATTCTACAATCCATTGAAGGAAACTTGCATGTGTGGGAAGTGAGGAATAAAAGATGTAAATGGAAATAAATAATGTAAATTGAAAAATACACTAGCATTTATACAATTGGTATAAAATTCAACTGTGTGCTGCTGCAATTTAAGAAGTCCAGGTAGGGATTTGCTATTGTTCATGAAACTGGCTTGCAACAGCAGACCTACCCTACTTTATTAACTTGCTGCAATTCACATCTGAGATTTATGACCATAGAGTCATGCTATTAGGCATAGCTAGAAGGATTCTGGCCAAATATATTTAATCTTAGAAAGATTTTTAAAATGTTTACTTGTGTATACACACATGCACATATGTGTACATTTTGTTGTAGTTTAGTTGTTAAGTCGTGTCCGACTCTTCTTCGTGACCCCATGGACCACAGCAAGCCAGGCCCTCCTATCTTCCACTGCCTCCCGGAGTTTGGTCAAATTCATGTTGGCAGCTACAGTGTATATATGCAAATTTTAACACTAGAGTCACATTTAAAAGTTGCCCGAATTGAACTCTAAAGTTCCAGAGGTAACACTTACAAAGTAAGAAGAGTTTCCATGTGGTCTGATCCTATGGTTAGTTGATTGTACCTGTTTAATTTCTTTTCTGTACCTGCTCTTCTGATCCCCAGATAGTTGTGAAGCTTGCTTACCTGGCTAATGCTCCTTATTTTTGCCCTTTCTTTCTATTCTTGCATCCCGTGTTTCATAATTTAAAAACCACAAGGCCGGAGTAATATACTGATCAGTGTTTGAACTAAGACCAGTGACACCTGGTTTTAATTTAACCAATTCCTTCTCAGCCTTATCTACCTTAAAAGGTTATTATCTGAATGAAATTATATGAGATAGCTGGAGATGGAGAATGTAAAGTGTCCTGAGCTTTTCCAAAATGATATAGGATAAACATACAAATATAGGTCACCCAGATTTAAGTGCAAGGCATCCCCCTCCTTGAGCAGGGGCTGCCTTGGCTTCCAGGATGAAGGAGCTGTCAGTGTTGAGACAAGAAACTTGGCTTTGTCCTAGAGCCAACTGAGCAAGAAGTATATTGTAATTTTTTGCTTACATCAGAGTTAAGAGAATTTCATGATGTAGCCACCGACCGAAAGCATGTCAAATGATTTAGGCTGTTTTTTTTTAATCCCAACCTGACTTTGCAAATTACCTTTGACAAACATCATGGTGTGGAGGAAGATGGCAATCAACCAGGATGTTTGGCCTGCCAATTTTTTTCCACCAGGCATCGGATTATGAAAACAAATGTGGACTCTGCAAGACTAAACATTGCATATACTTATCTGGAAGTTGAGTCATGGCAACTGGACTTTTTTTCCTTATTGAAATGTTTCGCTACTCATCCAAGTAGCTTCTTCAGTCTAAGGAAAGTTGGTAGGAGATCCCTGATATATCCTCCATGTTGGTTTCACTTCCTCCTGGTCTGAATAGGCTCATTAGGAGGGCAAAGGACTGTGGGTGAGTGAAAATCCCACTTCTGCAGTCCTTCTCCACCCATTGTCATGGGCCATTAATGGTCATTAACAGTGGTCCTTCTGGTGTATGCGGTATTAATCTTTCTGGGGATGAATGAAAGGACAGCATGATAAATAGTCCTTCTAACAAGCCCATTCAGACCAGGGGGAAGTGAAACCAACATGGAGGATATACCAGGGATCCCCTACTAACTCTCCTCAGACTGAAGAAGCTACTTGAATGAGTAGCGAAAGAAGTCCAGTTGCCCTGAGTCACCTTCCAGATAACCTCACCTAAATGACTGAGAATCTTCACAGATATATTGCATACACTTATTTCTCCAGTTAGAACATCTGCAGTTCAGTACCACAGGCTAGGGAGTTTTATAGTGTTCAGCTGAATACAAAATGTGCAGTTGGGAAAAAACTGTGCAATTGCAAACTGATAAACATGCAGTTGGAGAAACAGAAAAAAATTAGGCTGTACCTATTTGTTAATTAAAAATTTAAATGACAAGCAGGATCCTGTAGCAAAATAGGCAAAATCCTGTTCCATAACTGGCATAACTTGTTATGGAGCGAAAAATACGGTAAATGAAAAGCAGGATCCTGTAGCAAAATGGGCAAAATCCTGTTTCATAACTGGCATAACCTAGATCACATGCCAGAAATGTCATGGAAAGTTTCCCATCCCCCATTCACCCATGTCAGATTCCAAGATTCCCTAGGGCTCCGTTTTGCCATGGAGAAGCTTTTGGGAGCCTTGGGATGTAGGAGAGGGGAGCCTTTAAAAGTTCACTACTGCTGGAATGCTCCCAAAGGCTCCCCAAGTGCAATGGAGAGCCCTAGGGAGCTGCAGAACCTTAAGGGGTCGTGGTGCCATTATGTCAAGAGGATCCTCTGATTGAAGATGGGGCCTACAAATGGGTTAGCAGGAAGCTAGAGTCATCATTTGGAGAAGCTAGAGTCATCATTTGCTGGAACTAGAAGAATCTGGATGACATCAGATTTTATTTTGGATTGAGTTCTTTGTTTATTCTGCAGAGTGTTGAAGGGAAGACCCTGCTTCTGTATTTCAGGTCTGAAGTTAGGCATGGAGAGGGATGCGTATGTCATGATCGCAGAGAAAGGGGAGAAGCTGTATCACATGATGACAAACAAGAAAGTGAACCTTATCAAAGACAGGAGGAGAAAATTAAGCACTGTTCCCAAGTGCTTTTTTGGCAAGTAAGTGACATGCGGGTTGAAAAGGCTCTTTCATTCCAGTGAACAGAAAAGATCACGGGTTTTCTATGGACGGTATTCTGAAGCCAAATCTGATGCGCTTTGATGGGATTTAATTGGAAAGGTCTTTAACCTCCATTACAATTCATTTATTAAAATTAATCATTCATTCCTACTTAATTCCCTTCGACTACTTGATGGCAGCACATTCCAGGAGTGGGTGAGGGAGGTAACGTGTAAATATCATTCTAAATCTGTAGGACAAGTGAGGAGAAATTACATGCACAGCAAATGTTTGAATCATAGCTTGAAAATGCTTCTGACAACCAAATATCCATCCATCCATCCATCCATCCATCCATCCATCCATCCATCCATCCATCCATCCATCCATCCATCCATCCATCCATCCATCCATCCATCCATCCATCCATCCATCCATCCATCCATCC